CGATGAGATAAAACCTCCCAGTGAGATACGCATTCGCCGTTGCTAGGCATGCGTGGAACACACTAAGCGCACGTAACATATGAAGCGTAGATGAAAGCGTAGCCAATGCCGCTTGCAATCAACAACTCCACGCGTGCCTAGTGACGGCGTGTATCTCACTGGGCGGTCCTTATTTATGAATTCCACATTTATGAATTACGGGATTTTATTGCAAAAAATTTCTTAATTTTTGTACAGATTTTCAGTCTGATAAACGCTGGTTTATACATCTGCAGTACAATCATCGCCTTTAGCATTAACGGAGAAGATTAAATAATTAAATTAAATAAATAATTATAATTATAATTTATAATAAATAATTATAAACAATTATAATTTTCTATAATTAAATAATTATAATTTTTAAGGAAAACGATTATACAAATTATGTATACGAATTACCTTTGACTTTTGAAAACCAAACTTTTATGTCTTAGATATTTTATTTAATTAAATTAATATGCATCTGTTGTATAATGAATTTTGACTATTGAATTATACTATTTGTTAGGTATCGAGAAAATGTCAAAAAATATTTCTTTGCTATATTTAATGAAGAATCGATAATACTATAATCTTTTTATTTTTATACTATAATCACATAATCTTATAATCTTGATCTTTAGAAATTGCGAAATTGTATTGCTAAATATCATTGCATATACAATGCAGATATTGCACAATAATTTCATTAAAATATTGCAAATTAATTGTGAAACATTGCTGCGACATTATTGCAAAATTCGACGTTAAGATATATGCTTTTTAATATTGTAATATTTAATAGATCATCACAGCAACATTGCAAAATAATATTTTTTATAAAAATGAATCAATGGAATGTAAATAGAAAATAATGAAATGTTACTATAAATATTATGCATTGCTGCAATGCTCTATATGAAAATTTTTGTGTTATGCCTTTAAATTACAAATAAAAAAGTTATTTTTAAATTTTCGATTATGGATAGCTTGAATTGAACTGAATTTTAATTTCTATTGCATTTCATGTCTTAATTAATTTTTTAAAATCGGATTACACTAATTTGTCAAACATTTTTCTAATAAACACATGACAACATGCAAAAATTAAAAAATCTAAACATTTATTTTTTTATTTTGTTAATAAATTGTATTTTAAATTATATTTTATAAAACTATAATAAAAATAAGTAATATTTTTGTGTTAATTTTTATCTGAATCTTTTTCTTTTTTGTCTTTCCGTCAGCTGTACGGCGAACCGATATTTTCAGTTCGTAGCACATGCCAAAAATAGATAGTAATTTCCCTTGTGTCGAATGCTACACGGGGGGTGCAACGACATACAAACTTTGTGGATGCATAAACTCTCAGTCCGTTTAAAAGTATCGCCGATCGCAGTCATGTTTTGTGTTGTTCAGATTTGCTATCAGAGGACAAGAGAGATTAAATTAAACATTAAGTGCAAAAATATTTGAAGTTTTCAAATATAATATTATCTTTAAACCTTTTTAATATTAAAAATTTTATATTTGAATTTTATATTAAAGATATATTGTTAATTAACCTGTCTTCTTGTTTATTTAACAAAATCGACACATAAAATAAATTGACAAAATTATTCAGAAGAACTGAAAATCATTTTCGTATATAAGTAATGAAAATAATTTGTTGCATATTAAACTATGTTTTTTTATTTTAATTAGCTAACCAAAATAAAATATGAATAATTACTTTAAGAAATATTATTTTTGAGAAAAAGTGAACAATTGCAACTTTAATTATCCTAAAGGAAAAGAAAAAAGAAAATAAAGAGAAACATTTCAATTTAAATTTAAATGGAAAGAGATCACGCACAATAAATTGCATCAGAGAGATCACATAAAAAGAACAATCGAGATCAGGATACAGGGACGAGTTTAAATTAAATTAATTGTATGTAGTACCTCGTTGACATTTCATGGTCATGAACAATAAAGGACCTGTAGTCAGAATGTCATCTTCTGGTACATACGGTGCAGGTGGTATTGGTTGTTGCTGCTTCAGATGTTGTACATGCGTACACTTAGAGTTCCTTAAATCATTGCCAGGAATCATGAAAGTATGCGAAACGGTAAGTAATTACCTGATATATATGCAAAGTTCAAGAGAATTAAGAAGGAGAGAGAGAGAGAGAGAGAGAGAGAGAGAGAGAGAGAGTGTGTGTGTGTGTGTGTGTGTGTGTGTGTGTAGTAAGTAAAGTAAAG